AACTGAATAAAAATTATTTTTTTAAAAAGTGGTTTAAATCTCTCTCTCTCTCTCTCTCTCTCTCTCTCACACACACACACACACACACTCCTCTCTGACTCCCGCTGCTTGCCTGTCAGGGCCAACCCAGGCTGAGAAAGATACAATGTATAGCATGTACAACATCTAAGCAGAAAGAACGAAATACTTGATACAAATTCTTGCTTACTCGGGAATCGAATACGGGTCTTCTACGTGAGACAGCGGAGTGCCTAACCGCTACACCACAGACACTGGTTGTTGTTTGTTTTGAATAATATATTACGCTGTGTGTGTGTATTTGTGTATATATTTGTGCGTGTTCGTATGCGAGTGTACATGTGTTTAGTTACGAGTTTAAAACTCTCTGTATATTGCAGAGCCAAGAAATTATCGTTGATTTGCTTTTAAACATGCTGAGGATTCTTTGATTATTATGTCGCTATTTCTCATTCACCACAACAGGCTAAAGCATGAAAGAAAATTAATAAGAAATTTAAAAAGAAATTAGATGCCTCTCCTTCGTTTATGTCTGATCCTTCTTTCACTCTATACCCTCTTTTTATTCAGATATCAGTGAAAGAATTTGCAGTCAGTTGATCGGGTGTACCCATTCCTTTCTTCCTTTTTCCTGCTGAGTCTCCTTATAATCTATCAGGACAAATAACGTTCATTTTCTATCCATGGGCAACTGAAACTGATATGAAAATATAATGCCACACCAAGTTGGCGTGCGGGTCGTTGGGCGCCCTTAGCAGAGACATTTAACTTTGTCAGAACTACATTGTAGAAACGATGGCTACTAGTATTAGCGTTTCAAATAGCGCAGCGTTTCAAATAGCACGGGAGCTATTCAGAACACAGCGTTTCAAATACATTTTGTGTAGCACGGGAGCTATTCAGAACGTGGCGTTCTAGATTTAATAATTGATTATTATTGTCTAAGTACGAAGCAACCAACCTCAAAACATTATGACACATTATTATAATATATGTATAGTATAGGATAGGCTATACCATACTGGCTATCATTCCTACTACAGTGGAATCCTGATCTAACGAGAGGGAGGGGACCGGTGCGAAATGTCCGTTATAGCAGGATTCTCGTTATAAGGGATCCAGTAATTAATTCAAGGGAAATAATACAGTAGGCCTAGTCTATGAGTCTGGTGTTCTGTTTATTTCTTTTCGTTATCTCCCCTGGTGATGAATTGGTTCAACATGACCTGTAGGTCGTGCTTGATCAAAAATCGAATCAGGTTTCTTTCTCTTGCGCTAACCATGTTGACAGTTCGGCGTTGGCGATCAGAAAGAAAGGGCTCTAGGCGAGGACTACACACTATATATGTGTGCTTCTCGGCTCTAGGATAACTCGCCTGCTGCTGTGTTGTCCCCCACCACACCACACCACACCCTGTGGTGCATCCCGTCTGCTTGCGCACATCACACATTCGCTCCATCCATCACAGCACTGTGACCTCTCCATCCCCGCATCGGAGAAGTGAAAGGCATGGTAGGCCTAGATAATCTAGACTAGGCTGGCCTATCTCGCGATGCGTTCTGCTTGCCTGCACATGCCACACCCTCCCCACTCATTCGCTCCGCCTTCATTGTTGACACACGTGGGATCTCCCACCCTTTGCTTTGCTAGATCACCAACAAGTTTCTCAAATGGCGAGGTTTTAAAAAAGTATTAAAAATGGCCTATGCGCTGTGCACAGCAACAGCAATATTCTGCTATAACAAACTCGCATATTTGTCTGATTGCGCTATAGCAGTATTTTATTTCCAAAGATAAAGAAGGGAAAAGACCGGGGTTTCAGAATAGTGTCTTTATAACAGATTTCTCATTATTTCAGGACTCGTAAGTGGATTCCACTG